AATCAGGGATGTGGCCTTCCATAGCAGTGAAACTATGGACGTAATCCGTCATTTCAGTACCAACTCTTTCGTCCCCATCAGGGAGGAAAGGGTTATCAAATCCGTTCCTATCGTCGCCACTACCGATCGAGGCGCGATTACTGTCCATTGAACCGCCGCTATCAGACCGATGCTTTCTCTTAGAAGGTGAGAAAGACGAAAGAGGCGAAAGAGACGAGCTGGACTCAAAGTTTCCCGTCTGCTTGGCCTCATTGGCTGTGAATTCTTCCTTAGATAACTCTTGGCGGAAAGCTTTATTTTCCATCTTGATGAAACGCTCCAGTTGAGATGATAGATGGTCTTTGGGCGTTCCGAGGGCCTCTTCCGTTGCATATACCAGCAATGGTTTCTTGGTATCCTTCCAAACATCGACTAATACTATGTCGATAGTCGTTTTCTGCAATTGCGTCAATAATAATTAATCTCCTCTTCTTCAATCAATAATAAGTTCCTTACCTCTGTTCTAACGGCCTGGTCTCCATAAGGAGTATAAGCCAGCCTCCACCATTGATCTCTTGGTTTGGCCTCCTCGTCATCGAGATCTATGAGATCTGCTTCCTCCCGTTGGCAGACATATACGACGCTGGGCGATGCAACTAACCCGCGGAGGAGATACTTTTTGCAGGACATGGGCTTCGGACGACTTGGCTTATCCGGTTCTGTAAGGAGTTTTCCCAACGCTCGCTGTTTGGCTGTGATCTGTTCAAGTTCTGCATCAAGGCCTAGAGTCATTTTAGCCAGGGGCTTTGGAGCCTTTCAAAGTCAGGACCTACCCCTCATTTTTTCCTCGAGGTCCACAAGCAAACTCTCAGAATAGTCGATCACATCTATGACTTTCCGAGATTCCAGATACACGTTGTCATCCACATCTGGGGGAGCAGTGCGGTAGTCAGGGTACTTGTCGGTATCGAATCCCGACTTCTCTAAAGTCTTGAATCGGAGAAAGCTTTCTAGGTAACTCCTGTATCCCTCCCATTGGTCCATCGCTCTTTTCAAAACTGCACACTTGTCATCAGTTGCGTTACCCCAAGTGTCTGTCAAGCGGAAAAGCTTTTCTTTCTCGGCCAGAATACGCTTCGTTTGTTCCTTTGTTTGGCACCACCCGTGCTGGATCCGACGTGCCTCGTCTTTCCGGCTCATGAGGTATCTTTCTGGGTAGAATTCCAAGGGAATCTCGAATGAATCGCTTGGTCCGTCACCAGTCGTGTTGAACACCAAAACCTCGCCCATCTTTTTGAAAAATGCCATCTTCGATTCATCGTGGATTTTATCCCACCCCAGGGTATCACTCCACATGACATGGTCAAGTGCCTCATACAGAGTTTTGATGCAGCTGTACTCATGTTGGAGGTGCTCTATCTCGAGAAGACCAAAACTTGCGTCTTGTTCTTCATCATCTCTGTGGAACATCGCCACTGCAGCAACTTGCATCATTGGCTGAGCAACATCAGGGTATCTTTTGCCGAGCATCTCATAGAATTGTTTCTCCATACCCTGGTTGTCAGGATCAGCCAAAATATCTGCCAGAATAGATATCGAGCCATAACCACGTTCGGTAGAGTCAAGAAACGCCATCAATCGGTGTACTTCGTCCTCAAACGCACTACCGCTCTTGTGCACACCGGGGTCCGAGCTGCCTTCTTCAGCCATCTTTGCCAAAACGTCCGGTGATAGAATATTTTGTCCTCGCCACCAGTCGTTATTACAGCCGTATGTCGTAGCAGGGGATCCAATGCCGAGGAGTATGTTCCGTGCAATAGGAATTTCATGCAGGATTGTGAGAAGCCCGCCGAGGCGGTGATCGCCACCTTGCGCACTGCTAATTACCAGCATCGCAGGTGCGCCTGGAGCTCTCTTTCGCTTTGACGGTGCAAATTCATTCACGGAGCTTCCTTTCATAGGATCAGACGGGACAATAGCCCAGTCGGCCGCCACATATGTTTCGCGGTTAGCAGGACCAAAATGGGGAGGTGGCGGCTCCGAAGGTCCTATAATACCGGACTCCTGATCTGGCATAGTTGATCTAGCTTCTTGTGCTGATTCACGAATAGCTCGTTGCAAATCATCATCCTCTTGGGCTTGGCTATTTGGAACACCTGTATGTGTCTCGGTCAGCGCATATTCGTGGGGGTGACCAAGAGAGTTACCGGGCACATGTGCCGCAGTCCAATCCACCATCGTACCCAAGGGAGATCGATTATTTGATCGTGAAGGAGGTCTCGAAGGAGCGCCGTATGCGTGTGATTCTGGCGGGGGAGTTACACCCTGAATGATGTTGTGATCGGAAGACTCGACATGGAAGGCTATTGGGTCAGTTGACGTTCGGAGGGAAGTGCAACAGTGTACAGACAAATACCAGCAGCATTGTCGCTACCGTCTCGATCTGCGGCGAACATAGAATCGTCCCAAAGCTGTTTATACTTCGCTCGAAACTGCAATACAATTAGCATGTGCTGGGAATGGGCCTTGAACTTGTTCGTACGCTGTCCGAGTTTTCGTAGTATTGACTGACAACATCTTCGGGTTTCCAGTTACTTTGCTGTCAAGTAGGTATATGTCAGTCGCATACTTTACTTTGAGGGGTTCGCCCGGTGCTAACCTTCAGAGCTTGAATAACCAATTCACGATCGTCCACAGGGTCGAGACCGGTGAATTCTATCACTTGACCTATCACCTCCTGTTGTGAAGTCTCCATGGCGGGTGCTTGAAAGTCAATCGTCCTCTGTGAGTTCCAAGAAGCTCAGTCTATCGATCGGACACTCCTCCCACCATGAGGGGGGCCAAAGAGCGTATTAAGGTAGATGCTGCGCGATAAAGATCGGATGAGGCAAAGAATAGTATGAACTATTTCCCCTACGCTGATGTTGGTAGTGATGAATATGTTTTCGACGAAACACGCTTGTCGAATGTTTGTTGTATTGAAGAAATGACGATCTAAGCGATGAGCTTCCGCAGTGTGCAGTTGCGCTGGACTGCAGTCGAGGGGTACGTACTGAGAGCGATAAGATAAGAGATTTCTTGGCATGGACTTACACGTGCCCACATCCAACTCTTGGGCAACTTGATTTTAATGAACCTTAAGGTAGGTACACTAGGAAACTGCTTTTCTTTGTTCATGTGGAAAGGGATTAACTTAGCGGCATTTTGAATTCAATATCACGCTAAATGTATATGATCGCTTCAGCCATGGCTCCATGAATCAAATATTTCATGCGCAACCACCTCGAACAAACACCCTCAAGCTATCTAGACAAGCTTCAAGCATAAATGTCGAAGCAGCGGACCTACTATAGTCTATGCCGGGAAATACGCAAGTCCAGCCTAGATATGACGTATGAAACTCATAGTACGTAGAGGGACTCTGCAATGAAGCTGTTATATTCTTCCCCTCGAGTTGTCGTAAAGTTGTATAGCACACGAATAGTTATGTGACATCCACGATGCTCAAGGTTTTCTGAGACGCATTATGCTAGACCTCAACCAGAAAAAATCAGTTTTGAGATATTCCAAAAGGTAAGCTAGCCGAAGCTATTGGCACATGTTGGAACTTGTTAGAGTATCTCATATTTACAGCAATTGGAACGTCTCGTTCAGAGGTAGAAGGTTCTAGAAGCTTCGACCATGGACCAGGGTTACCGGGAATAGCTTACAACGGGGAACGCAATCCGCAAGTCACAGTAACAAGCTTCGATTCACGACAGATTTGTGTAAGGTCTCACAGAGCAACAAGACGATAAAAACAACATAGCGCGGGCACACAGTTATACAATCTATTAAGACAAACCCATAACGAGGTTCGTTCATAGATCCACTCAAGCTTCTAGTAACCATCCTGAACTCCAAGTTGGGGCTCTTGAACTGGATTGATGGCGTCTGGGGCGCTATCCCCACCACGGCTAGGTATCGTCATAGGTCAATTATCCCTGTCAAGTTGTCAGGTATCGACAGATTGAGCCCGACACGAGGACCGGAGGCATGGCCCTTATGCTGTAGTTTTGCGGAATTGGCTTTAGGGAATGTGTTACAATGAGGATTCTGCAAAAAGAGCATTCCCGGTTACTTCCTAGATAATAAAGTCGAACAAAGAATAGGTAGACGACAGCTGCAGATGTATAGGTACTTCTCGTTATTCGAGAGATATCCATCGATCGACTCGACGTCACCCCCACCCTGGTAGAATGGAGGTCAGCCAGCCTCTATTCCATATCAAGTTCCTTTCACACTGCGGTGTCTTTTTCCCCTACGCTTTAGAAGCTTCCACAAGGTCCCATGCCCCAGTATTTCCCAGCGGTGGCTTCTGGAGATTGTCACGGTAGCATGGCGTAGTGCTTTCTCGACCTTGTCTCTGAAGCGTCACTGGACTGATCTTTTAATCCTCACCTGCGGATTCCCACTCATCTTTTGTAAACTCACTCTTGCACTAAAACATCCCCTCTCTTTAACCTCACATCACATCACCTCATTCAACCTAGAACGAAACCTCTTCTCATCATACGAAACGCACTTTTGGTGTTTGTTTTTCACTGTTTCAACAAACAATCAATAATAAGCAATCCTTGACATTGCCACCCATTTCTTGCTGTTCTCACTTTCTATTGAATCCATTTCGCCTCGTCACATTTCAACCATATCGCACACCTAAATAACCTTGAGAAACACAACTTCTAACACGCGCGACCATGGTCAAGGAGACGAAGCTCTACGACACCCTCAACGTCAAGCCTGAGGCAACTCAGGACGAGATTAAGAAGGGATACAAGTAAGTACACATTACCTATAGTGAGCAACGGAGGCGCAATGCACAATACCCCTTTCTCATCAGGTTCTTGCTTTTGTAAATGCTACAAGCAAACCATGTTTTTCTACTCAGCGAATTGACGAAGGAGATGCCCTTTGTTGAAATATGAACCCCCGCGCATTCCGCCTCGTATCATGATCTAGCGAGCACCGCTAACCACACCTCCTACAGGAAAGCAGCCTTGAAATGGCACCCAGACAAGAACAAGGATAGCCCCGATGCGGCTGAAAAGTTCAAAGAATGCTCACAAGCATACGAAATTCTTTCCGATCCCGAGAAACGAAAGATATACGATCAGTACGGCCTCGAGTTCCTACTCCGCGGTGGTACCGCACAGCCTGAAGGTGGTGCCGGTGGAAACCCCTTCGCCGCTGGAGGCATGCCTGGCGGATTTGAAGGTTTCAACTTCCAAGGTGGTATGCCCGGTGGAGGCGGTACCCGAACCTTCCACTTCAATACCGGCAGCGGTGCTGGCGGCTTTGGTTTCAGCAACCCCGAAGATATCTTTGCCGAATTCATGCGTAACGGATCTGCTGGTGGCATGCACGGTGGCGACGAAGACGACATCGCTGGCATGTTTGGCGGATTTAGCGGTGCTGGTCCTCGAAGCCGCAGTTCACGCACACGCTCAGGCTTCGAGCCTCGACCTCGAGAAGCCACTCCTGAAGTTACCACAGTCGAGCGACCTCTGCCTCTAACGCTCGAAGAACTCTTCAACGGTGTGACCAAGAAGATGAAGATTAAGCGTAAGACTTACGATGAGACCGGAAAGAGAGTGCAGACCGATCAGATCCTCGAAGTTCCTATCAAACCGGGCCTGAAGAAGGGTTCCAAGATCAAGTTCAATGGAGTCGGTGATCAAGTAGAGGGAGGCCGCCAAGATCTTCACTTTATTGTCGAAGAGGTAAGCACAATTTTCCCCAACCCTGTTTACGAAATGATAACTAACAATCTTGCAGAAGGAACACCCTCTCTACAAGCGCGAGGATAATGATCTTGTCCATGTCGTAACCCTTGATCTCAAGGAGGCCCTAACTGGCTGGCGAAGGACAGTGACTACGATCGATGGTCGACAGCTCAACCTCGAGAAGGGAGGCCCTACCCAGCCCAACAGCGAGGAACGGTATCCTGGCCTGGGTATGCCCATCTCCAAGAAGCCTGGCCAGCGAGGCGACTTCGTCATTAAGTACAAGATCAACTTCCCAGCAAATTTGACTGCCGATCAGAAGCAGAAGCTCAGGGAGATTCTGTAGAGGCGCGCCGCAAGCGACCTTATCTGCAACTCTCACTGGATACTAGACGTTTGCTCGGGACTTGTTTCAACCTCAGCAGCATCGGAATTCGGCTAGGGAGATTTGCATCACATTCAAATGGTGTTTTGGCGTTTGGGACTCTAATGAATAATGAAAAAGAGTGGAAGTTCGATGGCACAAGCCTTGGCATGGAAGACCAGGCTTGGTTGCCCAAAGTTTACAAGCGACAGGAGAATGATAGGAAGTTGATTAGCATAGGGCTTTTTGATATCCATTTGACGGCTGTTCTAATTGGTGTCTGTAGTAGAAACGATGTCATGTATGTAGTAGCTGTCTCTAATAGTACGACAGATTCAAGATTTAAAGAATCAGTTGCCAAGTGAGGAACAATCCAGTTGAGGTAAAAAAAAAAAAAAAAAAAAAAAAAACAGCTCATCTGGTACGATCACGATTTGAGAGGGCAGATACTTTTTATTCTCGATCGCTTAATATGGGTTGTTACAAATCCCGCAACTGGTAGAGGAGCCGTGTATGACGAGGGTGTTCATTGGAGGTCCACCGTTGAGTGACACTGTTTACATGGAACATGCATGTCGATAGACGGACTATCGGTTCGAATTCTCCGAAGTCTGTAGAAGCATGTCTTTGTACTCACTTACATGTGCTTATGCGAGGTTTTCACTGTAGGTCTAGTTCATGCTAAGCATACTTTATAATCCATGATTGTCAGAGGCTCAAGCAGCAAAGTCGCTGATGCGGGCCGGTGGACTGGAAGAAAACGGGTCCCTCTATTTAGCGACTTGTTCTAACAGGGATTCATAGTGCATTGATGACGACACTGGGCGGTTCTTAGTCGGACCTTACCTTGGCTGGATGGAGGGGGAGGGGCATTTGATTCGATTTCGGGATGTTGATGTTGGGTTGATTACGAGGGGTTTGTTTTGTCTGACTTCCACGTGTTGGTGATCGACAATTTTGAAGAAGAAGAAACAATTTTGACTGCGAGCACATAGAGTAGTATTTTATCAGTACAAATAGTTCTTCTAGCTGTTTAACTTATCATACTGATTTGAAGATAGTTGAAAATACCCACCTGCTCTGCTGTAGCTACGTTGAAATAGCTGTTCATGAACGCGGGGTTTCTTGCTGAATCTTACACATGCAGATGCATATCAAACAACATAACCTGTAGAGTTCACTGCAAGACAACCCGGGCAACCCCCGGCATCACCCAGTCGCACTTGCATATTCCAATTACAGCATATTGCAGCTACAGTCGTAATTGCAGTTGCAGTTGCAGTTGCAGTTGCAATGGCAGAAGTAGTTCCCGTTACAGCTCGACTGTCCCTGCTCCCTTGAACCAAGGCACGTCCTCCATAAAACCTCCGTTCCCCCACAGTAGCTCCGTCACTCTCTTCTTCCTTCACCTCCATCTCCTCTTTGCTCCACCTGATTTCCACGAGCTTCTTCTGTTGTTCACTTCTTCATACATACAATTCCTCTTTGGAACTTGCCTGTGCTTCTTCTCTAGAACTTTTTTCACCACAATCCGCCAAAATGCCCGAGGTATGTTGCTCGTGCAATCTCGATCTTATTCGCGCTTACACTGACGATTCCTAGATCAACACCCTCCTGTTCGATTGCGACAACACCCTCGTCCTCTCTGAGGAGCTTGCCTTCGAGGCTTGCGCTGGTCTCATTAACGAGATATGTGAGGCTCGTCAAGTTGAGATGCGCTTCACTGGCGAGACCCTCATCAAGGAGTTCGTTGGCCAGAACTTCCGCGGCATGCTCACCACCCTCCAGAAGAACTATAATATCGAGATCTCACCCGAGGACATGGAGACCTATGTTCGAAAGGAGGAGGACGCCGTCATTGCCAAGCTCAAGGAATCTCTCCGACCTTGCGTTGGTGTTGATGAGCAGCTCGAGAAGCTCGCTGCTTCTGGCAAGTACACCATGTCCGTGGTCTCTTCCTCTGCCCTCCGTCGTGTCCGTGCCTCCATCGAGAAGGTCGGCCAGGACAAGTACTTCCAGGGCGATGTCGTCTTCTCTGCCGCCACAAGTCTCGAGAAGCCCACTAGCAAGCCTGATCCCGCTATCTACCTCCACGCTCTAGAGAAACTTGGCAAGAAGGCCGAGGAGGCTGTCGCTATTGAGGACAGCAAGAGCGGCACCCTTAGCGGTACTCGTGCTGGTATCAAGGTTATTGGTTATGTTGGCCCTTATGCTGAAGACAAGCAGCCCGAGATGGAGAAGACTTTGAGGGATGCTGGAGCCGTTGTCATCATGCGACACTGGTCCGAGTTCCCTGCTGCTCTGCAGAAGATTGAGGCTGGTGAGGTCTAAAGAAACGAGCTTGTTGTTGAAATTGCTTTGAGGAATACCCAAAATACACATCGGTTAAATAGCGAAAGAGATGGAGCAAATCACCTAGATCAATTGAACTAATAAACTTTACGAGTCCTTCACCCGGTCATTATATGTGAGACAATGTGAGGCTCTGAGACATAATTGATTGTCTCAGAGCAACGTCATCATGTCTCATGATTGATTTGTTGATCCCGATACAGTATTTATATAAACTGCATCACTTTCGCCAGTCCATTAAAAAGCTGTTAACACTCTGTAGAGTGGCCCGGCTAGGATTGGCGCCGGGGTAAGCTGTCATGATGACCCCCAATTTCGACTTTATCAATGTCTTTGTAAATGAGACATCTTCTGTTGGTTTTCTGACGTTGCCGTCATCATCAAATAGGTAGCAATACATCGCGAGAGTCACGCCGACTGATAGATCTCGCCCTGATTCGCATGCCACAACAATTCGTTGCTGATTAGGCTCTGTAACTGAGGCAAGATATTTAGCAGCAAAATCGCATATTTCAGGTAGGTAACTGCGAAGGTTGCGACTAGCCAGCTTGTTTTTGCCAAGGCCGGCTTGCATATAAGTCTTGGATTTTATCCAGCTGTCTTTTGGTGTTGTATCTTGAGTTATGGCGATTCGACACTCGGAAGGGTTGGCGAGAAGTGGTAAAGAGCAAACTAAGATGTGTGGTGTGAGCTGAATATGTGTCCCTTCATCCTTCTTGCTAGCGGCATGGTCGCTGACTAGTCTGGAGATAAGACCTGGTAGTTCGGCCTCTGGTGTCTCGAGAAGCTCATCGATATTCTCCCAGAATAAAGGCGCTGTGAGATCATGCGCCCACATCTCAGTATCATCAGCTGCGCCCTGTATGTATCCGCCCTCATCCATCTCACTGCCTATAACCCGGCGACTAGCCGTGCAGCAGATGACAGGGCGGAAGTCGTCAAATATGGTGGATGTGTCTTCGACTGAAGGAAGGGATGAGTCTGGGGTTACCCAGAATGGGCGCAGTGGTTTTGTTAGACATGTTGGAAGATTGAGATTGAGAGCCTTGAAGGAAGCAACGAATCCAGGGATGAGTGCGCATATTTGGGAGTATGTTGTTGCGGGGAGATGAGCTGGGAGATAGAGATTTGCTGAGGATGGGTTTGAGGGGAGAAGAGTGAGGTTGAGGACCGTGCACCAGATAGGAATCGTTGATGAGAGGGCATCAGGCATCCCTATATAAGTCAGTTGATACTTCATCGGAGACATTAATAGTCATGGGGGAGTACATACTCTTTCCACGGCGAGTAGAGTCGACGATTATGATACTATTACCATGTTAGATCTCAAACAACAGGGAGAGGACTAGGTCTCTATACATGCCCATCATTATTCTCGATAAGCTCAACTAAATGCAAGTTCAACCTCCTCGTGCTAAATTTCCACGCCCTCTCATGGCCATCCGTACTCTTAAAATATGCACTTGCGCCTTTACGCTCAGGCGGAATATACCAACTCCCACAACGTTCATTAGCCACAAGTGGTCGCGGACTATATGTTTGAGACACTAGATCCACAAAGTCTACATCGGTTTGGATGCTAGTCAGACGGTTATGGATTGTAAGTGTGGTGCGTTTGAGGGACGCCATGAGTTGGGACATGGAGAGTTGTTCATTCTGAGGGAGGATGAGATCGGAGAAGTGAGGGTCTGGCATGGCGACTACGTGAGAAGAAGATATAATATATGAGATTGACTTGAAGTTTTGAGAGGTGAGAAACGTTGAAAGGTCAAGACCGGCTTTGGAAGGTGGGAATATAAGGTGTGGTGTTGAATTTTTGGTGGAGTTTAAGAGTTTAACAGGGTGTTTTAGTATCCACCCCGCATTAGACCCAGAGCATAATCATATTCACTTTAAAACTGTTGGGTCACTTTTTAAAAAGGTTGCAATAACAAGGCTTGATCATTACTTTTGGCCGTAACCCATCAGACATTCATACACGTAGCATATGGTATTTATCCTTCTCCTGTTGCTTTCATCCATTACTCCAGCCTCCACTTGCCGTTCTCAACAACAATCTTAACTTCTCGATTCTCATCAATACTTCTTCGACCAGCCTCAAGAATAGCCGTTGTAGCAATAGTGTTTTTCAGAGTAGGGAGAGGCTTGGCGTCAAGATCCTCAGGCTTGAGCTTGCCAGAGTTGACAGCTCTGCAACCATCGACAAACTTCTCAATGGAGATGTAACCATAACCAGTCTGGCCAGCGAAGTTGCCATCCTCATCAGGAGCATACTTCATGTAGAAGGGGTTGTACCACATCAATTGGCCGATAGAGTCATCGGCAACGTCGTAGCCACGCTTGGCCTGGTCAACGCGGATCTCACCGTTGGCAGCGAGGTAGTGGAAGTATTGGTTCGAGTGGACACCGGCCTTTTGAGGAGCGGTCCACGAGGCTGTGTAGACACCGACGGCGCGCTTGCTGGGCTCGCCGTTCTTGTTCCAGGTGACGAGGAGTGAGATAGTATCCTCAGTGATGGGGTCGCATCCCAGATCAACAGCAACACCCTTGGAGGAAGAGGCGTTGACGCTCACAGGCACATATCCGCGCTCCTGGACCATTGAGTCGCAAATATCGATGTGGTGGCTGTTGAGGTAGTAAGAGATATCAGACTCCTTTCCAGCCCAGGCCTTGAAAGTCTCAAGCTGTGACTTGGGCTGAGACATGTAACTGTAGAAGTAGTTGAAGTCGCCAAGCTTCTGAGCCTTTGCGCGAGCATCGGCGTAAGCAGGATCGTAGCGCTTGTGGTGCTCAACGTAAACGTAGACACCCTTCTTCTGAGCAAGATCAACCAACTCCTGGTGCTCCTCGAGGACCTTGACGGCGGGCTTTGTGATCATGACATGGATGCCGCGCTCAATGGCGTACTTTGCGATGGGGAAGTGGGTAGGGTCGGGGGTGAAGATTGTGATGGCATCGCCAGGCTTGAGAGCGTCAATGGCGGTCTTGTAAGCGTCGGGGTCGACCTTGTCGTTTTCTGGGAATGAGTCGAAGGAGGTGTCGAGGTCGTTGTAGACTTGTTGGATGTTCTTGTTGAGATGTTCGCCTGTAGAAGTTAGTTATGATCATGAGAGTTGTGTATAAGAGAGACTTACGAATAGCAGGGAACTTCTTGCCATTGACACCAACCATGCCCAACTTGTTGACCTTCTCGCGACGGCGCAGATCAAAGAGACTAAGACCAACGACACCAACCTTCTTGTCTGAGCCAGAGGCACCGCCACCGACGAAACCGGTGGTGTACTCTCCAGTACCAATCTGAGGGTTTCGTATTAGCAAATTGACGTGATTTGAGTGTGAGCCTGTCGTTTTTGTATCAACTCACCATGAGAACATTGAGAGGCTCCATTGTGATGTTGTGCCGAGGGGCAAGGCGGGGGAGGGGCAGAAGCTATGATGAGAGCAAAAGCAGAGTATGAGGGTATATAAACGAGTCCACAATTACGTATCAGCGTATTCGAAGGTCAAATATAGCTCGATATGGTGTAGAGAAGAGGTCTAGAGTACAATCATGAGAAGATGGACGTGAAGGTTGAATACTGTTCTTATGAATGTTCGCTCATGTCTCCGGTAGCTTGGAACGAAAGCTGGGGGACAGTTCGGGGTTCTCTCCGGACGTGATTGGAGGAAAAATGAGTCCCCGCGTAAAATCCCCCCAATCTCAAGCTAGAGAGATGGATAGCTTTGGAAATATGGAGTCATGATGCCGGATAAATCTTGTGTTGATGTGCTCATGTGAGTGTGGGGAAGATACAGCTTCGCAGAATTCTGGGGGAGACAGGGTCAGGGGAAGAGATAAAACTGAGTCCTTGAGATGATGGTGCCATTGCTATTATGTTGTGGCTGATTTCGTGATCATATTGGTGGTGTTTGTCTCACATAGCCAATATCGGGGGCGGGGAAATCCCCTCATGCTATGACAGAAACCGCCAAAATTGGAGAGAATGATCTTTACAGTAATTTTCAGTGGTGATAGGTATCATGACAGCAATTCTTAGAAGTATTGAACTAGCGAATTATAGAGTCATTTCCCATTTTGATCAGAGAGGCATTTCTCACAGGAACCATAAATTCGATGGAGCGTCTAGAAGCGAGAACCACCCCCAAACCCATGAGGATCATCACTATAAATCGCAATGGGTTGCGAGGTGCAGTGAGGGGTACATATGATTAGTTTGGAGGGCCCAATATCCCCCACCCCCACGGCACTATAATCCGCGGCTCATGACCGGAAGCAATGGTAATCATAGGTGATATGATTTGATGTTTACAGCAGCAGAGTTTAGTCACAGCTTGTGAATATCGAAGCGGTTTCAGCGTTGTATAGAGTGTTGATAACCTCAATTGTAGTCATATAATCAAGTGCCGAAAGTCTATCAAAAGTTTACTCGCATCCAGTTCCAAGTAAATTGATGTATCAATCAACTTTAAAGTCTCGTGACTTTGACCCCTCACGTAACACGGCATCACCTGCCACGTTGGGGGTACCATCGTTAGAAATTCTCCGCCCACTCAGAGCGAGGCTTTGACTTACCCCATCAACACCAACACCAAATTCCTCACCTCAAAACTTACACTGCCAAGTAAGCAACTAACTCAGGCGCACACACTCCATGGAAGTACAGACATGTACAAGCACAGCCCGGTCACCTTCCGGTCAGTCTCAATAGACCATGCACTTTGCCTCTCTTACACACCGTGACGCCGCAAAATACAAGCCTTGGTCAGCTCGGGGTCAAAAGCAAAAGGGTGACTCTCCACCTGGACCTACACAATGTACACTACTGTAGAGCTCATATCCCGGCCGGCTAATCGACATCAGCGCGGGATGTTGGACATGGATTTGACAAGCGATCCAACGGTTCCATGGACCTTCAAGCCTCCGTCTCTTGTTCGTCCCGCCTAACCGGCTCCCCACGTTTGTTCTAGCCAGCATTGAAACTGGTGATGGAAGAGGATGCATCAATAGATGTCAGTGCGAGAGTTATTTGTGATTGTGGTTCGCTCTGATCGGAAGTGCCGATCTCGCATCCTATCAAACAGATCACCCGGCAGCTGAAGAGGCAATCGGTCATATTGGCATCTTCTTGGCTTGGGTATACTACCTGCAGGTGGTTTTATCTATCTGTCCGTCGACTTTAGCCGCAATATGATATGGTATTGCAGTGCCTTATCTTGCTCAGAGCATTCAATTTACTTGGTGAGACCAGGTTACGTGAC